TGGAACGAGAAGGAGCATGGAAGGGTGCATTAAGAGCGATCGAGGGAGAGCGAAGGTGAGACAGAAAAGAGCGTCAGAGATGGAGAAGGAACGAAAAGGACGGAAGGACGCAAGACGGAGAATGAGGGAGGATGGTAGACGTGATCGAGAAGGGCGAGAAGGAAGGGTAGTTCGCGTGTACCATGGGTACAATTGTGTGTGTATGCCCGAACTTTTCTTCAGCGTAACTCACCTTGGAGAAGCCCAGGGGAGAACAGGTCGCGAACTGCTGTCTTGAATAGACCGCGGAAAAGCTGGTGCTGCGCCACTATCGTTAGATACTTTTCACGAGGGTTTTACGACCGACGTAAACGTAGGTCGAGATTTTCTGCAAAGAAAAAAAAAGAGAGAGACAGAGAAAGCACGCAAGAAAATGAATGAAAACGGAACGTGCGCGGTGTACGGTGTAAATAAGCACGACCCGAACCATGAGTAAATATTAGAACTTGCTGAAGCTCGTGTGCACGGAACAAGATGAATATCCATTCTGTAAAGCCATAAGAGAATAAACAGTAATAGAGCATTCGGAAGGGGATCGTCAAGACGATGCTTCGTACTAAGAAAATTCCGATTGAATTGCAGCCTTGATAAGATTTTCCCAAGATTGGGAAATAACTATACTCGTAACAAGTAGAATTATTTTTTTTCAGTAATTTTAATTTAACTTCGTTATTTCCTTTCCATTTGTAACTATAATTTAATTTAGTTACATTTTTTCAGTAACTAGTAACTAATTTAATAGCTACTAGTATATTTTAAATTTATTTATCAATTATATTCAGAGTCCATTTAGCACTACATTGCAGTCCATTTAGCACTACAAATGCTTCGAAGCATTTTACACACACACACACACACACACACACACACACACACGCGCGCGCGCGCACGCGCGCACTGTATGTATAATTGTGTGTGTGTGTGTGTGTGTGTGTGTGTGTGTAATTATTTTACCTCTGCATTGTTACTTGTTTGGTTATTGATATTATAAAGGATTCTTAAAGCAAAGGATAATTTATAGCAAATGTTATAAATCAATTTTTGAGCTAAAATTTTAAATAATGAGTAATAAGGTGTCAAATATTTTTGAGCTGTAAGTACATCATATCTAAGCAATTTTGGAATACTACCAACTTAATAATTAAAAATACAGTTTCAGCAACAGTAATAGTAATTTACATTGTTATATTAAGTTGATCTCTCAACAAAATATTTAATTTCAAATCAGGACAAAATATAATTTTGAAATAAGTATTATTGAAAATCAAAGAAAATTATGAATTTTGGTTGGAAATCGGGGAAGCTATGGAATTTTGAAGAAGGATGAAGAATTTGTGACAATATTTATAGATGTTATATAACAAAATCTTAACAAAATTATATAACTATTTACATAGATTTAAAAAAATTGAAACAATAAATGTTACTCTTTATCTTTGTTTAGTCAGAAGGGATGTTTTGTAAGTTATCTTGCTAACTAAATAATCAGTGATTGTTAATATTATATTTCGATTGAGAAAAATTGCATAAAGAATAACTCAGATACTATGTTAAAAATCGAAATATAAAACATCTTAAAAATGTTATTACATCTTTAGAATATCTTATCTTCAAGATAGTTTAGTGTTCCGGATTTTGGGCATGTGTGTTGTTTACAAAATGGTTTATTTATCTTTAGATATTTAAATTAATTTAAATTATTTTTTTTTAGTAAAAATATAATATAAAGAAGTGGCTTGTAAGAAATATAATTTTTAATTTTTTAAATAGAAATGTTGTGTGTGAAATATAAAATTGACCATTTAAATATATCTTATACAAACCGTGAGAGAGGCGCAAGATAAAAGCCGCATTATCAACTGCATGGAATTTTTTGATAAAGTGTAGTAAATTTCCTGTAATGAACAACGATAATAATATGCGCAGACAATTGTTAGTTTTATTTTTCAAGCACATAATGTTATTAATTAAATTTCTTTGAACCTTGTGCCTCGTGTATATATTTGAATTGAAATTAAGATAATTGAAAAATTAAAAATAAAATTTAATATAAAAATGCTTCGAGGTCACATCAGTGGTTTTGTGTAAAAATATGTAAATGCCAATATAAAATCTGTCCTCGATAAACTATTTATAACGTATTGGAATTCATAATATATGCGAGACCTTTGTCCATTACCGATGTATTGTTTAAATGTTCAAGTTTTACTCCGAAATGGAATTTCTCAAATGCATTTTATAATAGAAAATAATCCTTCGAGTCAAACAATTTTTCTCTGTATACACATAATATATTTTAGAGTTAGAGATATTCACTTACAACTTGCAACGGATCATCCATTTTACGCTGTATTGTAACAGATCGCTATAAATTTTATCGCGTCTGACAGTTAAGATAAGTGAAGACCAAATAATACATTCTCACACAGAGCAATGCAGGTCGCGCCCCCGGGGGGTGGAAATTTCACGTAACCTGCTTTTTCTTGGGAGCTGGAACAAGGTCAGCGTAAGCGCAGCTTCGAAGGGCGATGAAATGGGTGGCAACGCGGGCGGGCAGGTGGAAATGCGCACGTGTACATAGGCTTGAGGACACCACTCATGAACACACAACTCGGACATATACGCGACATATAGGCGACTTTGCCGCGCAGCGAGGTAGCGCGTAATAATATCGCATTGTATGCCGCGCTTGTGAATATCTGACATCGAGACTGTTGAGGAAGGTCGCATCTTCCGTTGTTTCCCCTTTGCCGTGGATAAGCATAAATCGGAAATTAATTCTTTTCATTCCACAATCACGAGAGCTAGCATTGAAACGAGTTTTTTTTAACTCTCTGGATCTCCAATTTATATCGAAAATTTTCTATGTATATTTTACAAGGTATATTTTACATTGTTAAATAATATTTTGTAAATAATATTTTGTCTT